GCCTTAAATAATAATATATGCCAAATTTCATTGCGATTGTTCAGTTTGTATGGAAGCTATATGCTATAATCATCCGATCTATACAATTTCTTCGGAGATTACATTGTTGCCTTAAATAATAATCCATGCCAAATATCGTGAAGATACCTCGTCAAAAGAAAGAGTTTTCCATGCAAACACTTGATTCCGATTGCTAAGTTTGTATGGCAGCTTTAGCTATAGTGATCCGATATCGGCCGTTCCGACAAATGAGCAGCTTCTTTGTGAAAAAAGGAAAGGACAGGTGCAAAATTTTAGATTGATAGCTTAAAAACTGAGGAACTAGTTTGTATATATACAGACAGATGGACAGACAGACATGCCTAAATCAACTCAGCTCATGATGCTGATCATTTATGTATATATTATATTTTATAGAGACTGCGACGTTTCCTTCTGGTTGTTACAAACTTCGTGGCAAACTTAATATACCCTGTTCAGGGTATAAAAATATTACATTTTAAAGTCAGGTGGAAAAACGGAAATCATTTTATGGAGTATATTAAGGAAGGGAAAGGGACGGGCTTGAATCATTAATTTGGACATTGCTCGTGTGTAAAAAGTCAACTATAGGCACTGGGGTCTACATATTCGATACCCAGAGGCTTGAACAGTTTCGGTTCGATTTAGACACTTTTTTGTCATAAGGTGACACACTTCAAAGGCAAAGTTTCATGCCGTTATATTAATTAGTGCTTTATTTGGGATGTGGGAAGTAGGCGTGACTATAGTCTGTTTTTTGCACTGTAACATAGGTATGTCAGAAGAATGCTATACACCGAATTTGGTTAAAACAAAGTTTTTTTTATAAGTTTTCAATTAATGACATTTTGTGGGAGTTTCATCAAGGTATCTTAATTTTTATTCAAGTTATCGGTTTACCTTACGGCTTGCGGAAACCTGGCGCCCTCCGTAATAAGATAGCCTTACTTGCGCAGAGGGGGCTATGCGATTATTGGCTCTATACAGCAGTTATCAGACCAATCATGACATACGGTATATTGGTATGGTGGCCAATAATGGAAAAAAGATACGCGGTAAAGCGTATTAGAAGTATACAAAGAGCAGCCAGTATATGCATTAGTGGAGCTCTTAGAACAACGCCAAGCCAGGCTCTAAACGTCATTCTACATTTACTGCCAACAGACCTGTTCTGTAAGCAAGTGGCAGCAAAGTCAGCTCTCAGACTGAGGGAATCCTCCCAACTAGTCGCATGCAACAAGGAGCATTCTAGGATACTCAGTATATTCCCGTTCCTACCCAAAACCATGGATTTCCGCAATCCAATAGAATTGAAGCTAAATTCGGACCACAATATTGCCTTCCCGACAGGAGAGGAGTGGGAAAGGGACGAAGTGGACAGGAATAGAGGAATTAGCATCTTCCAGGCGGAGATCACAGCAATCAAAGAAAGCCTTGTGGTATTGACAAAAAGTGTGCTCACAACAAGAAGCATATATATATATACGGATAGCCAAGCGGCCTTGAAATCACTCAAGTCTCCAATGGTCTCATCCAAGCTGGTAAAATAATGTCTTGACCTATTAGATGATCTGACATCCTACTTCACAATAAACCTGCAATGGGTTCCAGGACATAGGGATATCCCTGGAAACTGCGAAGCAGATGAACTAGCCAAAACAGGTACCACTTTGCAACTTACCTCTGAAAAAGAGAATATTTTTATGCCTCTGGCAACTTGCAAACACTTAATCAGCGAACATGCTATAAATATAGCAGAGTCTCGGTGGAGACAATCAATAACCTGCTCAACCAGCAGGCTAACGTGGCAGGAATGGAGCGTGAGTCGCACAAACCGACTACTAAAATTTAAAAGGAATGATATAAGAACTCTGATAGGAGTACTAACAGGTCACTGTCTAATTGGAAGACATGCGAGTAGGCTAGGTGTACCATACAACGAAGTAGAAGCTGTTAAGAAGTAGAAGAAGAGGAGACTGTAAAGCATCTTCTATGCGAATGTAAAGCTCTATACAGGAAAAGAATCGCAACTATCGGTCGTGGATTCCTTGACGACGTATCAGAAGTTGCTAATATAAAATTATTTGTACTGATGAACTTCATCAGGAGCACAGGTTGGTTCAGAGAGGAGACGATAGAGTGAGGGAGTATTAGTCCCGGTGGTATCACAATGGGCCTCCTATAGGCCTAGGTGCGTCGTTAGACAGCCACTCTACCTACCTACCTATCGGTTGCACAGACAGACACACGGACAGACAAACGTCCAGATTTCAATTCATCTCGTCATCCTAATCACTTATATATATATAACCCTAAATCTAACTCGAATATTTTTTGGGGATGAGTGTTAAGTAAACGAAACTATTATACTCTGTTGTAAGAGTATATATGTAAATGTATGATTGATTTGAAAAAATGTTGCAGTTTTTTTATACCCTTACCTATCTGCCCGTTCGTTTTCTGTGCAAGCGATAACCTTGCTACTTATGAAAATTTAAGAATTAATAAGCTAATTAAAAATGTTTGTAGTTATACCCGCTTTATAGTTATACTTGTACTCACTTTGGATAGTGAGGGAATGATACACGTTCAAATTTATCGCGCCAGTATTTATTCGTAATAAAAGCATTTTTTTTTATATTTCAAAAATGGTTTTGCTTTATTATTTGTTTTATTTTTCGTACGGTTTTCTACAAAGTGTCGCAAGAAACCCAAAAACAAGCGTAAAGACAGCATTGTAGTAAAAATGTGAAGAATTCACCAAATCTTTGAAAAGGATTTATATAAGTACTAGCTTTTCCCGCGGCTCCGTTCATATTGAATCGTATTAAGTGAATATTAGATTATTAACAAAACAAAAAAAAATAACAAAATATATAGTATATACACGAAAACCACACCGCGATAATCATCTTGGTTGTGGTGGTGGTAATCTCTGATTTACGCTTTTTGATGCATTTTTGTATTCTTACATTTTGAAAATTTTCGACAAACAATCATATCTGCCGAAATCAAATTTTCTAATATTTTTTAATGATCCTCCAAAATAATTTTTTTTTTTAAATCCGTAAAAAATTTATATATTTTTTAGTAAAAATTATGTCCTATTTTCTTTCTAATATCATCAGGAATATGGGTATAAAGATTCATAGTGATCAGTTTAGTGGATTCGGCGTGAAAGTGTTACAAACATACTTACATTCACATTTATAATTATAAGTATGGATAAATATATAATAATTTTTAATAAACATCGCACGATTTTCAATTTTTTCAATACTTGGTTCCATAGTATCGCGAGTTTATAGACAAAATGTGCTAAAGGTTTAATATTGATCGCGCGATCCACTGTATATGTATATAAATATTGAACGTGTAGCAGTCGCCAATAATTTGTAAAAAGTAATAACATTGTCTGCAGGTTTATTCCGTCAGTAGAAGTTCGTGGAGCCAATAGAAAATCAGTTCGGTTTTACTCTAAACATTTCTTTCAAACAACCAATGCAACTTAAGCTAAAATTAGTCGGCTATCTACAATATATTAGGTAAGGTAAAAAGTTCGTTCGGTTTTTATTTAAGAGATGGCGTTATTGTCCATAGTATTAGCGTTACGTGTAGCATCATGTCATACTAAAAGTTTGTCTTTGACAGTTTTTCGATTGATTGACTCAGTACGTTGTGAGCGCTCGTCAAAGATGGACACCAGCAAAAAGAAAATTCGCTATATTTTACAATTTTTCTTCGATCAAGGCGAAAAAGCAGCCAAAGCGACTGAAAAAATTAATTTAGTTTATGGGCCCGATACTGTAAACGAACTTGTAGCATAAAAGTGGTTTGCTAGGTTCCGTTCCGGTAGTTCCGATGTCAAAGATGCACCACGCGTCGGGAGGCCTGTCGTCGAAAATTGCGATAAAATCATGGAAATAGTGGAAACAGACCGTCACGTGAGCACTTATTTAATTTCTGAGAAACTAAAGATAAGCCAAAAAACCGTTTGGAACCATTTGCATAACCTTGGATTCAAAAACAAGCTCGATGTTTGCACGAACTAACGCAAAAAAACATGATGGACCGAATTTCCATCTGCGAATCGCTGCTGAATCGCAACAAAATCGACCCGTTTCTGAAGCGGATTGTGACTGGCGATGAAAAATGGGTCACTTACGACAACATCGAGCGCAAACGGTTGTGGTCAAAGCTCGGGGAAGCGGCCCAGACGGTGGCCAAGACCGAATTGACGGCCAGGAAGGTTTTGCTGTGTGTTTGGTGGGATTGGCAAGGAATCATCTACTACGAGCTGCTCCCCTATGGCCAAACGCTCAATTCGGCCCTCTACTGCCAACAACTGGACCGCTTGAAGGCAGAACTCATCCAAAAGAGGCCATCTTTGATCAACAGAGGCCGAATTGTGTTCCATCAGGACAACGCCAGGTCACACGCGTCTTTGGTGACGCGCCAGAAGCTCCGGGAGCTCGGATGGGAGATCCTAATGCACCCACCTTATAGTCCGGACCTGGCACCAAGTGATTACCATCTTTTCCTGTCCATGGCGAACGCGCGGCCTGTGAAAATCGGCTCTCCGAGTTTTTTGCCAATAGGGACGCAGCCTTCTAGGAGAAGGGTATAATATAGTTGGCATATCGTTGGCAACAAGTTTATGAACAAAACGGCACATATTTGACTTAAATCGGACAAATGCACACAAAGTTATCATCTTTTGAAAAATCAATAAAAACCCGAACGAACTTTTTACTTTACCTAATATATGTATATTGAAATTGAATTTTATACTCTCACAATATGTTACAAGGGATCACGGTAGGCATCTACGATTAAAAAATTTTTGTAAAAGTAACTCGACTTCTAATAGGCTTAATGTATTGTATATACCTTAGTACTGAAGCTTTATCATCCACCATAATTACATATAACATACATACGTACACATTTCTTGATTATATACTTGTCTTTATTTTTACTTGTCTGAATAATTGCTGCCATTGCCGTCTTTTTTAATACTTCTGCATAAAAACTTTTATACAATATCTTAGAATTTTATAATTTAAAGTACCATTGTCTTTAATAAAGTGCTTTTAACTGTGTCGTCACAAAAAATTCACAAAAGCATTCCTGTTTTTGCACGATTTAACCTTATCCAGGGCTGGTGTATCTCAGGGCATTGCGCAAGAGCCAACTCTATATGTCTTATTCACAGCAGATATATCAACAGCTAAAAATGGATTGACATCCACTTTTGCGGATAGCACAGCTGAAGCATTTGATCAACTTATCTTGGCATTGACTTGGATAGAATCTTCATCACATCAACCATGGCTCATCATAAGACATCAGAGCAGCAAATTTCAATTTTAAACTGCAGGTGAAAATAAAATTAGTTAATGATCAACTAAATATAAAATATCATCAAACAAACGTTAATCTATAAATAGTAAACAACATTACTGTTATGGATTCTTTAATTTCAACGGATTTCATTCACACTAAATCTAGAAGGGCCGTCACATGGTAACCAAGGGATGGGTACCCGACTAGTATTTCAAATATAACAGTTTTACGTAAGGTGCTATGGTTAATGTTCCCGTTAAATTTGGTTAATAGAGCTTAATTAGTATGCACAACTTTTAAATTAAACATTACCCTCCCGACTGTACACTACTATAAAATTCGAGTTAGATTAGCTTAAAATCGTTTATTATTTACATTTACTATTTTACACATCTGCAATGCCACTCTCTTTGGATTGCCAGTGTACACATGTACAAAGATTTATTAAGATATTTAAATTTTTCATCAAATTATCGCTTGAGCGGACAGACGAATGGCCAGACAGGCAAGAAAACATTTCGTCTCATCATACTTTTATCATTTTAATAAAAGACCTGTATCTCGATTAGTTGTAGGAAACAACACCCTCATACTCTGCGAAACATGTTATAAGTGGAAATTGACAATGTAAAAACAATTATTTATCTCAAACATGAAAGGAGCATTAACTTCTACTATATATGAATGTTAAAGATATAGATCAACTTTACGTACACATAAATATATTACAATAACAATAGTAAATGACAAAATCTGCTAATAATGATACAACTAAACTATTATAGATTTACAGAAGGGCAACAATATTAATTATGTCGACAACGAATGCGCAAATAAGCAGACATATAAAAAGAGACGAATTATTGGAAACTTTAATGGCTTTAGCGTAAAGCGAAATTTAGCTGTATATTCTGTTACGCAACATGCGCACGCATCAGGTAATAATTAACACACAAACAAAAATGGCACAAAGAAAATATAAATATATGTATACATATTTTATATCCAGATATAAAGGTGTTTTTTTTCTAGGTATAGAACTTTAAGTTGGCATTACTGTTCAAGATGGCGACCGATTTAACAGCTGTCACCTGATTTATTCTCAGTTTGGCTTGGCAATTCATCATGAAAAGCCTCACACACATTGTATAAGCCTACAAGTAACCAAAGAATCAGCTGTTTTCCTATGTGTGTGAAACAGCTGTGGTCACCTGATCGAATATGCCTTTTTTGACATAGAGTTTTAAATAAAAGGATAAAGTTTAACAATTTGTTTATGAACATGTATTTGTAATGGAAATAATAATGAAAACTGTCAGGAATATTATCAAAACAAATAGATTTTATATATTTATTGCTTTTCCTCACCACCTCTGAGGTTGCAAGATAGGCGCATTACCGATCACAATAATATTTTTGATAAAATTGGAAACATTAAATAATATTTCAATACAATAAATAATAATTTAAATAATACTATGTAAATTAAATACTTACGAATTATAACAACCGAAAAATATTTGAATATGTAATAAAAACATTCTTAAAGTTATAAATTTTAAAACTTAACACGGCAACACACTATAGCAGATTTGTGTCATTTGGACGTTTTAGTAGTAGAATATAAGTAGGCAACCCGTACCGAGTGGAACATTTTTGCGTGTGTATTAGTGAAAATCTTAGGATTGGTTACTTGTAGATTTATACAATGCTCACGCCTGAACAAAGCTTGCAATTAGTGCAATTTTATTTCGAAAATAATGGTTCTGTGCGGAATACGTATCGCGCACAACGTTCATTTTATCGTATGATGCGATGAAGCGTACTTCTTTTTGAATGGATAGGTCAACAAACAAAACTGCCGCATTTGAAGTGAAGCTAATCCTCAAGTGAATGTCGTGGTGGAATCATTGGTCCGTACTTCTTCAAAAACGATGATGGCCAGATCGTTACAGTCAATGGTGATCGGTATATAGCCATGATTACTAATTTTTTCATTCCTGAATTGAACAACCATGATGTCAAGGAGCTGTGGTTCCAACAAGACGGCGCAAGATGTCACACGGCTCGTGCCATTATCGATTTATTGAAAGACACGATTAGTGACTGCCGCCTAATTTCACGTTTTGGACCTGTGAATTGGCCTCCAAGATCTTGTGATTTAACACCGCTAGACTACTTTTTGTGGGGTTATGTAAAGCCATTGGTCTATGGTCCATGTGTTATTGCCGATATACGGTCACAAATGTTGGAAAAAGTCAACGAAAATTGAACGTCCAGATTGGACTACACCCAAGCCAGCCGTGGCGGTCGTATGCCAGAAATCAAATTTAAAATGTAATGCCACAAGATTATCTTTCGAATAAATAAAATTCATGTCAATAAAATCATCCATCGTTGTTTTATTGCAATTTAAAGTTCTATACCTCTAAAAACAACACCCTTTACTATTGATATGTCTAGCAAAATATAAATTTCATAAGGTGGCGCCTATATATTGTATTAGATAATAAAATATATTGATAAGTTTTACAATCTCGTTTTTATATCTATTACATTACTTACATACGTATGGCACAATCAGCCAACCAAGTATACACACATATCTACTCATTTGCAATGAAATTTAGTGCTTACGAGGTGGATAATTAACATGCAGTGAGAGTACAACAGCTGCTTCGCCCCCATGACTGCCCTTCTCTTTTGGATTACATCGCTGCCACTTGTGTTTGTATTGAATTTCTTTAGACAACGCAAATTAACTTCATGATCACGTTCAACAGAGACAAAGTGAAAGCGGAATTAGAAACATGTATTTACTTATCATGATGTATACATTCATATATACCATACACATATACATACACCTACCACGATAGAAAGAAGGAAATAAGTTAAAATGCCATAATTAACGCGCTTATTAGGTGGCGTATAATGCGATCTTCTTGGTGACAATTGACAACGTCAAATGAAGTTTACAGCTTTCACTTTTGCGCTTTGTCTGCATGTTCAGAAACTAACGATAATTAAAAATTGAAAGCTAACTTAAGTTAGTTTAAGTATCTTTGTATTTTTAAATAAACTAAAACAACTATTTCAGCAAAAATTGTCAGAAATATACATTTTTCAAAAAAACACAAAAATTAATTTAATTAAAACTTAGTTAACCATCCTTGTATGGTGCATCCCAGTTCACTTATTCCTACCAATCTGATCGACTTGCGATTGAAGGTTGTTTATAACTTCCGATGGCACTTGATCGCCGAGGATCTCGAATAGATTAATCCGCTGATTGCCGGGAATCGCCTCGTATGCGCCTAGTTCAATACCCTCTTGCACATTTTGAATTTGCGCATCTTTTGGTATGAGAAAAGTCTGTTGTGCTTGTCGAATGGCTTCGTTAGTATAGGCTGCACCTTCACGTTGAGGATGGGCCAATGCGAAAGTCATTAGAATGCTAAACACAATGAGGGTTTTCATTTTATAGATTATTGCTGTTTATATCAGTTGTCTGGAACTGCAATAAAGAATTTAGATTGTTTATTAATATATTCGTTTCATTAAAAACTTGATTTTTTATTAGTAAATTTTTCACACAAGCAATTTTTTAACTTTTTTACTAAAAAATAATAAATTATATGTATATCTATATATATCTATATATGTTCCTTGAAAAGCACTCCACTACAGATGTCTATACTTATAGTTTTGTTTATCATTTGTATTTATTTTATTACAACAAAGCCTCGGAATATTTTAAAGTTATAATATCAGTTTCAGTTTGCGCCACACTTTTAAGCTATTTTAAGAAATATCGCAAGACGATCTCTTACCAAGCGCACGTTTGACACGTAAATGTTTTGCGATACCAATGCGCTTGGCGCTTTTTATAAACTCGGCGCCCAACTGCGCAGCGTTATTTTAATTTATTTTCATGCATATACTACTCATACCTTAACTTACAAACATACAGCCATCCTTACCGACAACGATTATACTTGTATGTGTGTTTGAACGTGATATAAATGGTTAGCTATTTCATTCATGTCCACTTCATTTCCAAGAAGAGTAAGGAAATGCTTAGAGTTATTTGTTTCAATTAGAGGGTCTGTTGCTAGTACTCAATATTTTTCATCACCACAGGTACTATTTATTTTCTATTATATAATATATTACTTCCTATATCTTTTATTAACGAAAGTACAACGGATTCAATTGTGTAGTGTTGATAATATCACATTCAAAGTCATAGTAAGATGTGACTCTTAAGTAATAAAAATTTCAAAAGAAAAAATATTATATAAAAATTTCCGATCGTATAACAGAGAAAGAACCTATTGGAATATTACTGTGGTGAAGCTTTAGTAGTAAGCGTAATTTTAACAGGATTCCATTGATTTTTTTATAGTGAAGAAATGGGATATTTTCACCAAATCGATAAGATAATCTAAAAATCTTAATGAGATACTATATGGAAACTGTTTTAATAGGGTAGTAATGATGCCTTTCAGTTCTTCAAGAATTTACTTTGCACGGTAACGTATATCACAAACTGTATATCACGAATACCCACAAAAGTATTGTACTCTACGCAAGTATATGGTACTGTCGCCACACACATTTTTTTTTTTGCTAAAAAGATGTTACATAATAATCCCATGACATATCTTAAAAACAAGTAAGAAAATGCTATGTTCGGGTATAACCGAACATTCCATACTCTTGCAACTTGCAAGAATCAAATCTGGGGAAATACCTTCATGTGTTGGCAAAACTTCATATTAAACAATTAAGGAAGAACCTATTCTATCAAACTCGGGAAAGTATCGCCGTGATTTCATCCATTTAAGGTAAAAGGATACACCGTTATTAGAAAAATATTCTTTCTGAATTTCTGTAAGCTTTCTTACATATTGACTGATAGATGCGGTTTAAAATGAACCGGAAGTTCAAAAATATTTATGTTAGCTATATGGAGCTAAAGGAAGTATTGTCGCGACGTAGGATGAAATACCTGGAGAGCACTAATTGCACAAAGTTTTACTCTGACAACTTAATTAATGTCTGATTTGTATACTGTAAAGTGAAGGAATCCGATGGAATTTAAAGTCCGATGTATTAGAAGTGGGCGTGGCTTTTATCCAAATTCACAGTACGTATTCAGAATATTTTAGTAACCTCACACACCGAATCTAGTTGAAATCGGTCAAGTTATTCCTGAGATATAAAATTTCACCTAAAGGTGGGCGGTGCCACGAACATTGTCTAATTTTTATAACTACTCCTATGAAGCTTTTCCACACCATCATGGTTGTGAAATTCAATGCTTCCGGAGCATTTATCCAGTGAGTTATCCCACTTTTAGTTGTTTTCATTATAACCGATATATGGGGAGTGGCCGTGGTTATTATCTGATTTTATCCATTTTCACAGATTTTGAAGAGATGCTAAAATTACTTCTTCTCAAGAAGCTTGGTTTACCCCATCCCATTATCGTTTTGTATCTAAATTTAGTGCTTAGTTATGAAATTGTAAAGGTTTTTGTTTAATGGCGTTTTAGGGACGTGGCAGTGGTCCGATTTCTCCCATCCCAATACCATCCTCTCTTGGGTGCCAAGTCACTCGGAATTCAAATCTCGTCATCCTGTTCATTTATATATCATCTCGATTAGTTTTAGTGATACAAACGGCTGCAACATATTGCAAGAGTATAAAAATGTTGCGAAAGAGTTCAATTTTCGAAGAGTTCATTATTCGCGAAATCGTGATAAATAAAAAAGTTTAAAATTATATTAAAATAATTCTCAAATGACATACAAGTATATCTGACTTATCTGTTAAGTTTAACCGAAGATGCTAAATTAAATATATCGAGTTAATGTGCAAAAGTCAACCAAAATATCGAAATTGATCATATTAGGGATATGAGATTAAGATCTAGACCAACTCCATTCATGTTCAGTGCTGAACCATTAATATAATAATAAGGTTTGTTGGAGTAACGGAAATTGTTTTATGAAGTATAATACATTTTCACATATTTTCGCCATTACACTAATGTATATCCATTATTATATATCCAGTTAATCTTGCTAAGATATCTTACATATTGACCAATATATACGGTATAAGGCCAACCGGAAATTAGGTATATGAAAATTAAGTGTAGTATTGATCTGATCTTATCTATTTTTGGCATTACTACATATCATTAACAGAAACAGATGCTCTCTGAGTTCCATTAAGGTACCTTACATATCATCAACAATATATAAGGAGTAAAGTCAACCGGATGTTTAAAAATCCTGATATCAGTTACATGGGGACTAGGGAAAGTTTTCCCTTTTACTCACAGAGATCCACCGTTTGGAGAATAACACTCACTCAATGTAATTAAGATTTCTCACATATTAGCCGATATAAGGTCATACGGAAGTTCGAACATCTTTATATTAGATAAATGGGGGCAAATGGAAATATTGACCTATTTAATCACGTAAGTGATTTCAATTGTATATCTCACACATTGACCGATATTTTCGGTAAAAGTTAGCCAAAGGTTCTGGTGTCCATATTTTCCTTATATGGGGGCTTGAATAGTTATGGTCCGATTTTGACAATTTTTAGACCTGAAATGGCATACCATTGGTGCTTGATTAGTATACTGGAAAGTGAAAGAATCAAATGGAATTTAAAGTTATCTTATATGGGAAGTAGGCGTGCTTGCAGTCCGGCTTTGCCTATTTTCGCATTATAACATGGGAATGTCAAAATAATACTATGTACCAAATTTGGTTGAAATTGGTCAAGTAGGCCCGGAGATATGTTATTTTGCGTAAATGTGTTCGGTGCTACGTCCATCGTCCAATTTTGACACCGGTTCCTATTCAACCGGCTTTTTAAATGATGTAAAATGTAATGTCTCCGGTGCATTTGGTTATTGATTTATTGCACTTTGAGTAGTTTCTAACAAAACCGTTATATGGAGAGTGGACGGGGTTATCACAAATTTTCACGCTATCTCAAGAGGTATTAAGAGGATTTGTCCTATGAAATTTGGGTAATATAGCTTGAATGGAGATACATGGATTAAATCTATTAGAAGGCGAGGTCACACCTATTTTTTAAAAAAAATTTACACAGGTGCTCCTCGTTATTGAGATTTGTTATACCAAATTATCTTATCTTAATGGAAATTTATATGTTTTAGATAAATGGCGTTTCGTGGGCGTGGCAGTAGACCGCTTACGTCCATATACGAACCCGTCCTCCCGATCCGAACACGTGTGAAAAGTTTCATTACGATATCTTAATTTTTACACAAGTTACAGCAGACTGATGGACGGACAGACAGACATCCGGATTTCAACTCTTCTCGTCATTCTGATCATTTATATTGTATGTACATAAACCTATATCTATCTCGATTAGTTTTATTTGATGCAAATAACCGTTAGGTGAACAAAACTATTATACTCTATAGAAACATTTTCCAAGAGTATAAAAATGAAGCTTGATAAAATAACAAAATTAAAAGAAATGTAAACGGAACCATTGGTAGATATTCATTAAATGCCAAATTTAAATGGGACGTATTGCCATTGTTAATTTTTTCGACACTTGTTTATCAGTAAACGGGTCAGTGCGATCATGTACAATTTAATTATATCATGTACAAATGTACAATATTTTTATACTCTCGCAACATGTTGCTACAGACTATAATAGTTTTGGTCGTCTAACTGTTGTTTGTAAAAATAATACTAATCAAGATAGATAGGTAGTTATAGAATTGAGTTCAGGTCTGTCCGTGCTTGAGTATAAATTGAGATATCTTGATGAACCTTGGCACTACCATATAAGGAACCGCCATAACTAGACCCCGTCCCCTAATAAGTTAAATTGTATATCTCACAAACCACTAAACTGTATCAACCAAATTCGCTTAGGACAAAGTTTTTTTGCACATTCTTCCACACAGGGAAAATAGATTAAATCAGGTGAGCCCACACCCCATATAATGGTTATGTTGAAAACTGCTACAAGTATATATAATGTAAATGTGGTGTGTGTAATTATACTTTGTATTCTCGAAAAAACCTTTATACAAACAAGTAAGGAATACTTAGGGGCTTGAACAGTTTTGCTTCGATTCAGAGAATTTTTGGTCACAAGGTGGCATACTTTAAACCTATTATTCACGCAAAGTTTTACTGGGGTTCACATATTCAGTACTTAGGGGCTTGAACAGTTTTGGTTCGATTTAGACAATTTTTGGTCACAAGGTGGCATACTTTAAACGTATTATTCACGCAAAGTTTTACCCCGATATAATCATTGTTGTTTGATATGCATAGTGGAAAGTGGAAGAATCAGATGGAATTGAAAATGGTGTTATATGGGAAATAGGCGTGGTTGTAGTCCGATTTCACCCATTTTCGCACTATAATATAGAAATATAAAAAGAACGTTAGCACCGAATTTGGTTGAAATCGGTTAAGCAGGTCCCAAGATATGGGTTTTCACCTAAAAGTGGGCGGTGCCACGCCCACTGACTAATTTTGAACGCGGTTCCTATCAAATCATCTTATACCATCCCATTTTTTAACAGTACCGTTATATGGGGAGTGGGCGGAGTTGCTACTCGATTTCACTAATTTTCACACTGTAGGTAGAGCTGCTAAAAACATTTGCATCCAGTGAATTTTGTTATTATAGCATTAGCGGTTTAGGGGATACACACCTTAAACTTATTAGGGGCGGGACCACGCCCCCTTTTAAAAAACCATTCTAGCTGCAGATGCCCCTTCCTAATGTAATCTTGTGTACCAAAT